ATTTTCTTCTAGCGACTAGCAATGTTTGCCCCCTGGCGATCCCAGAGTTCTTCACGCAAACACGGGTATCTGATTACTGGCAACTCATTCATTCAGTCATTCACAGGTCCACTGGTAAGGTAAAAACATTGTTTGGTTGTATATGTATTATGACATTTTATGGGTGTACGTGTAATTTGATATGACTGACAGAATATTTCCTCTTGTGATCAGGGGTGTCAAGGAGCAGATTTAGAGAATTCAGGGATAGGAGAGATGCAGAAATTGATAGATTTGTTGTTGAAACCAATAAGATCCTGATAAGACTGGAAAAGGTACATGAATGTTACTGTGCATGTGTAGTGCCATATCACTGGAGTTTGTAAGATGAGTTACTCCAGTTCGTAACCTTAGCTTCTGAGAATTTATTCATCAGTACCGGTGTTTAGTGAATCATCCAGTCTCTGTTTGTACTTTTTAGTCTCTAATGTCTCGAGCAGTAAGTTTATGTAGTCTATACCACTTACTATATACCGTAAATCCCTGAATTAGCGTCTCCCGTCAAATAAGCACCCCCTTTGAATAAGCGCCCCTCTTATTGGCCNAATCTATACATGTAATTTAATAATTATATTTAAAGGGTTTTCACTACAATGATTCAAAATGTTTTGCAGCTCTAGAGAGAAGTCTGGTTCCATGGATAGCAGATAGTGAAGTGAAGTTTTGTCCAATTTGTAAAAAGCAGTTTAATGTCGCTCGGCGTAGGCACCATTGCAGACTGTGTGGAGGAATAATGTGTGCAAAGTGCTCTGCATTTGTGTCAGTTTCTTTTTCAAGTAAGAGTTGTGTACAACACATTCCTGAACATTTATGTATTCAATATTATACATCAAGTTAAATGTAAATACATTAATTAGTGGGCGTTTAATATTTTGACGCAGGTTCAAAATGTAACCAGACTAAACAGTCACTTTTTAAAATGTACCCAACAACTGCCTGATAACGGGCTTGTAAAATTCAACGAACAATTTTACATGTAGTGTGCAAGTCAGTTGTTCATTTAAAGAACTTTTAAGAGTGCATCATCTCAGTGAACAACTCATTGGCATGAAAAGCTGGTCTCATGCATGTAAGTTTTCTGCAGGCTTTACCGGCATGTCAACAGGTTATTCCTAGGAAAAACAAAACCTTTGAAAATTGATCTATTTCACAGTAACTCTGCTAAACCTGGACAAGGCTGGCTCACACAGTCTTCCTAAGCACTCAAAAGGTCGTTCAAAAGATGATTCTGATGAGGCTGGGATTCGTGCATGTCAGGCCTGCATGGATTGTTTAGAAAGGTATGTCAAGTGCAGTTAGGTCTGTAGAATGGTTATAAGAGACACAATATTATTAATAATGATGAAAATATTATTTTTGTTGATTTTGGCTAGAGATGCATGTATGTAATATTTTTCACAGTTATGTAGCATTGATTTAATGGTCTGAGCTCTTGTTTTGATTATTTTTGGCACACAATATTGTATTGGTATATAGATATGATAGACAAGAAAAAGAAAAGAAAACCAAGCCTGCAGTTGTTCAGCTGTATGAGGTAATCACTCAAAAATAATCTTAATTACTGCTTTTCAACAATGGGATATTAAATAAATTTATTATATGTAGGAGGTAGGGTTGACTATTTTACACGGACCATGTGCCGCCCAACAATGGCGGAATAGGTTATTTCCGAGTTACCTAAGTTGTGCCTCTTTTTCAACGCAATTCCTTGTTCAAAATCTTTCATATGGAAATGAGTTTGATTTGCATGAAAATGAACCAATAGGGGAAACACATTTTCATATAAATGCTTTTGAATGAAGACTCATTTTAACACAGAGGAAAAAGGCAACTCAGAAATGGCCTGGTTGTTTTTGACATGAATTTTGTGTTGTTTATAAGTATAAGGCATTTTTTGGTAAAAAATATCAGCATTGCCTTCTGAAGGGAGCAAATACATTTGTCAGTCATCAGCAATTATTTAAATTTGAGAACATTTTCCACCCAAGTTACTAAAACTAAATTAATAATAGTTATTATGATGTTGTTTATAACTTTGTTCTTGTTATGCACTGGTCAATATTTTTACAGAAAATGAAGAGCTGTATGGCGGAGGCAGAATCTTTACAACCTGTTTACACCAAAATGGCTGATTCAATTAAGTAAGAATTTATTATCATAATTAAACTGATTATCAATGATTTAGCGCAGCAAATATTAATCATTATTGGACTCATAGATTTGGAGTTAGTACAACCAATTTACAGATTGTATATTTTTGTTTCTTACATAAATGATAAGTGCTTATTATGTTTGATATGTTATGTTATTTTAAATTAATTTTAATAAATTATCCCTTCAGTTTAGGTGATATCCAGTATGATTTAGAAGAAGCTGCCAGTGTCCGTGCTAAATTAGTGAAGATGTATGAATCAGTTGACATTATAAGGTAAATGACATTCCAAAAAAATGTTGACACAAGTAGATTGATGTTGCCTTTGTAATGTGTTTGTCAGTGTTAAATTTTCTCTTGAAGCCTCATTTAGAATTAAGTAGACTTTCTTCGTAATGTATTTTAAAGGCTGTTAAGCAACCCTCTTTTCTTCTTATCAAGTGCTTAACCATCTTGTTTGATAGTGAAACCAACATTAACATAAAGTACTTTCCACTGGGTGTTTTTAGTGCTCTTTTGTTCACCATGATTTTTGAATTGCATGGATTTCATTAAGGGCTGGGCACTAGGCAAATTAACAGGCTGCAAGAATGATTTTGCCCACCTGGTTTGACCATCTAATGCAAAGTTTTTCTTATAAAGAAAAAAGTTCATAGTTTTGTCCGCCTGTGAAAACAAGTTGCCACCCTACTGAAAATGTTAATGGAAGCCCTGGAAACAAGCAAATCAAACTTACTAATGTTGAATGGTTTTGGATATGGTTGTACCAACCATATGACCTTAATTTTTTTGTTATCTGTGCAGTAAAAAGATAGCAGCATTAGGCACTCAGGCTGATAAACAACCAAGTCCTCACACATTAAAACTACAGAAAGGCATCAGGGCTTATGCTACGGGATACCTGCAGGAGAACATGTTCACTCTTCCAAATTTACCACCAGTTGACAAAATTAACAAACTTCAAGAAGAAAGAGCAAAATCGCTGGCTAGGAAAGCAGCTGAGGAGAAGGCACAAAGAGAAAGAGCCATGCAAGATAGACTACAAGCTGCAAAACAACAGCAACAACAGCAACAACAACAACAAAGACACGGAAGTAGAGATTTGAACAGAAATGAGCCTTCAGGCAAAGCAAAGACTTCTCAGCAGATTCCAGAGTCTGTTGTAGGAAATGGTTGGGGCCCAGTCCCTATTTCACAAGGCTCTTCCCCAGACCCCATGCTACAGCAAATAGACATTATTAAAAGTTATATAACACAAGCCAAACAGCAGAGAAAGTTTGATGAAGTTGAGATGCTTGAAAGAAACTTAATGGAACTTGAAGAAGAATACATGAGGCAGCATCAGGGAAGATAGCAAAATAGCTGAACTGTTAATAGTTTCTTTTTTTTCCATACAATCATTATTTTTATAAGTGATGGACCAAAGTGTTTTATACTACCACAGGTAAATAGTATTTTTTAACTGAACTTGATAATATCCCAAAAGGACATTCAATTTTTTTTATCCCTAATAACAACTTCATTGCATATTCTAAAAAGTTCATAATATAATAATTATTAATATTCTTTTTTACTTTCACTGAAAATAATCGTTTGGTTTCTCCATTGAATGATTGAAAAAAGAAAAAGAAAAACACACACACAGTGTTGGCTAATTTTTGCAGTTACATTTGGAGCCTAATGAATTTGAGAAAATACAAATTTTTGACATGCTTGTATCTGGAAATTATATTCAAGTTCATCTTCCTAGCGCGCATAACAGGCTGAGATTGAGCTCCAATAGATTCAAACTTGATTCTCGGCAAATCAAGGACCTAAGGTACATGTAGATTACTGATGGAGCTTGATATGGATCTCAAGTAAGATGATCTTGAATCGAGCTTACATGCAGTTGCCCAGAAAAAATAAAAATGTCATTTGAACAATGTGGCGGAGGACTAAAAAGCAAAACTTCACTGGAAGTAGGGAAATTGCATCCAGAAATAAATATTCTAAGCAATGAAAGATCAGAGTCTTTACACAGACCTCTGATGACCTGCATGTGCATCATTGTCTTATTACTTGGTGAGGTCAAATAATGGACATCTCAAAAGTCTAGGGATAAATTTAGTGTACAAAGAGACACTTTTCTCACAGCCATCATGCTCAAGTTGTTACTTATTCAATTGAAAGACAGTCCATCCTGTCATAACAGGTTGATGTAAAGTTATTCTGCTGCTGTGTCTTGCTTTAACTGCCAGAACTTTGGCTTCTTTGCATCAGGGTGTGGCACAAGGGCGGGGCATGGTGCCTGGCCAGGTTTTTCACATATGCAGTAGCAATGGCCAAATCTACCAAAGTTGGCAGGGTTTAAACGACCCGGATATTTTACTTTTGCTCTATCTTCCAGCTCCCTGTAGGAAAGAAATAATTTATGAATGAAAATGTAGATGTACATGTAAGTACCTGATGAAACAATTAGTGGATTGATTAATTGGGAAGGAAGAGATGCCATTCAATGCCCTCACTTGGATCTCAGGGGAGTGGGGTGGGTGGTGGGGAGTAGAAGACCAGAAGATGTAGATGTGCGGTGGAGAAAGATGAGAGTAAGATCTTAGTCTGAAGCCTTTGCTCTTATGTATAACAAAGATCAGAAGAGGGAGTTGCTTGACCCCACTCTCCCCATGCAGGGAGAAAGGATTATAATGATGATGACCAAAATGTGAACAAAAAAACAAAACAAAAACCAAGAACAAAAAAAGAATTGTATGGAAATGTAAAAGCTACACTGCAGGTTAATAATGCCCATTGCCACATCAATGTTGGTAGGTGGAATGTAGTACTTACATTTCAGTTGCTCCTGCAGCTTTGCTCACTATCTCTAAAATTTCAGGACCAGTTTTGCTCTCCACATCAATCATTACTTTCTTTCCATCACCTGAACAAATAATTTTAGTTCAAGTAAGACATGAAAAAGTTCAAGGCAAGTGACTTTAAACGACAAGATGCTTACCAAAAAAGATGTTCACCACTGGATGGTTCAATCTGTTTCTTGTTGTCATAATCTGGACCTTGCGATTTTTATACTGAATCTGAGGAATGTCCTTGTAGATGAAATTCCTGACAGAATAACCAAGAGTCAGTTGAAACAGACAAATCTTAGGAGAATACAAGTACTTATAATATGCTTAGCTTCATGAGTGGGCAAGATGAACCAAATCCTCCACTGTGATTGGTTACCTGAGTGGGCAAGATGAACCAAATCGTCCACTGTGATTGGTCACCTGAGTGGGCAAGATGAACCAAATCCTCCACTGTGATTGGTTACCCGAGTGGGCAAGATGACTCTATCTTGCTCACTCAGGACTACCCACTGGGTCCCACAAGAAAAATTTTCCTGAAAGCCATATTTAAACAAATCCTTTATTGACCAAGCTTGTTTGGTCAAGATGGATATTAGCCTTGTTCATTTTTTGCGAGTTTATGGACCTTGACTCTGTCTCCATCCTTAAACACACATAGCCAATATCCAGTCATCTTGACTTCACACTTCGTCAGTCACATATGTGTATAAAATGAACTGTCCCTAAAGTCCCATTTTCTATCATATACATGTATAACATGATTTAACTATTACATGTAACTACACAACATGCTACATACAGCTGTACACTGGCTTTCATTTAGCTTGTATGTAATCACTTCACAAAATTATTCAACAATAGTTTATAAACAGAAAACAAAATAACATGAAAGAGTTTCTTCGCTGACAATCAGAGATTCAACTGCATGGGTGGAAAGTAGGGGCTTTTTTAAACCTACATGCTGTTGGCGGGAGGGGGGGCACTCTTCCCAAAGATTGGGGTGCGGGGTACTGGGGTGTGTACCCTATTCCAAACTGAAATATGTGATTGTACCCTACCCGATTCACACCTGATTCAATATTCAGTACCCTAGTTTCAGGGCCTGCTTCCGTCTATATACTCCAAATGTCCTAATTGCTTTAATCAGACACCATTTCTTGAAAGACGAAAAATAGTAATAAAAAAAACATAGCCTTTACAGCTCCAGGTTGGCTGTAGGGCTGGGGTGCGTGTTTTACTTTATTTATGGCGGATCAAGTGGTTGTCTTCAAGGTACGAGTAAGATCAGACTGGAGAGTAGAAGTCACTATCCTATTCGCCTATTGGAAGTGGGCTTACCTCAGACCAAGACTTTCTGGTTGGTTTGTAAAGTTGATTAACAAGGATTTTACATCCGATTTCAAGATCAGCTTTCCAGCATTAAGGAATTCGAAGGTGCGACGAAATGGAAACCTTCCAGTTGGCATCTTAGAACCAAGGAACTACATCGAGCAAATTTGTGACAAATGTTACCGTCCACTCCACCATGATAGAACATGCGATTCTCCAGCGGTAATTGTGCAGTTTTACACAACAGCCAGCAAGACAATGGGGAATGCCGCTGAACACTATTGACTAAGAATCCAAGATGGCTGCCAAAAACCGAGTTTACCTCGAAGCATTGAAATTCTTGGATAGCCATAACGGAAAGATCGGCAAATACACTGTGCAGCGTACACTTGAGCATTTGAAAAGGTGTAATGTTGTATTGCATGAAAATGTCAAGCAAATGAGGTTAAATATTGTGGAGCCAAATTATGATGATCGCGGAGCAGTGTGAGTCAGATGAAGTGTAGTTTCCTTATTTGTAACATTTCTGAAAATCTACAAGTTACCTTGCTCTCATTTATTATATGCAGTATTGCTACATACACTTACATGAACACCGTGTAAGGTTGGTGTTGATACTTTGAGCTAGGAGCATATTGCATCCTAATTGTTACGGGCCATTCAATTTTTTCCCTTAAGTTACCCTTTTTCCGCCCTCAGAAAAGAGCTTATAAACAGTAGGGCTTCAGAAATTTAGCAGCGTTTTGCTTTACTGTCATCAGAAAAAGTATAGTATCCCTGTTGACGACGTAATTTTTCCCACTCCCCCGCAGAAATTTACTTGTCCCCCTTCAGAATTAAACATTTTGAATAATAACCCCTCAGAAAATGTCATCCATTGGATTGGGGGTGGGTAGATATTAAATAGAATGGCCTTGCTGCTACTGGGGACATTACATTCAATGGCATGTTGTCAGTATTTAAAAAAAAAAACAATATGAGAATTAGAAATAAGACTTAACTGAATGCATGCACTGCAATGGGCTTGATGTGAGTATATAAGTAGGGTTGTGCGAGCGTATGGTGGCATCAGAAACCTGGTTTATTGAGCATTCCGTTCCAAAATAATGCCTCCACTGCAGGTTAGTATACAATTAATATTTGTACTTTAACACTTTGTACCATCTGCTGTAAAACATACAGTATGGCAGAATGACCTTGCAATAGGGTGCTATAATAAAATAGGATTTAGTATGTTTGTGGAGTACTCTAACAAGGGATGTTGGCATTGAGTTACATGCTTGTAGTGTTCGTCTCGCTAAATATGCCCTCAGGGGCTGACAGAGTTGCTGGCAAGTCATAGTAATTAGCATCACTTTATTTAACAATCATATTGAACAAAATAATAGTGATTACAATGATCATGGTGATGATGTTATTGATGACGATCATGATGGGGAAGGAGGTGGAGGAGAAGGTTAACAAGGGCAATTAGTGATGATATAAATAGTACACACACACAGTCTCATGGGGCTTTATGTACAGTTGTGGGAATGTCATTAGACATCCTGTGACCAGATATACACAAAAACAAAAATAATTATTAGAAACAATATAAAGGAACTTGAAATTACTGTTCCAAAGTTAGTGGGGCTCAGCGTAACTNTTTTTTTACTATTCGAGACTGTCCTTAAGTGTATGTGTCTGGGATTAAACCTCTTCACTGGCAATTCATTTTTTCATTCATTCATTCATTCCTTCAGTCTCTGGTTTATGGTGTATATTAGCCAGGCAGACAATAACAGGCACACTCTACTAAGCTGAGTTTAAGTGACTTATAAAAATACTTTAAATGTAGTTGTAAATGTCAATATGTTCTCTCTGGTAGTGAATGGACGAGAAGAAAAAATATCAGCAGCAAAGAAGGAACCTTTACAGATCATGCAAGAAGTTATACACATTGCAGCTGCAACACCTAGCTCAGAGTGTGTACCTGTATTCAGAGTGTGTATTGTATTGTATAAATCCCTTTTTGACCCTGTGTATTACACTGTGTTGACCATGACTTCATTTTTTTTGTTTTTTCAGACCTGAAAATTCTCTAAAAGATGGTGACACATTAAATGAAGACCAAAAGCACACAAGCACCATTCTGTAATGTGTAATTCATGTCATGTAAAAAAAAATGAGGCACATGAAAAACTGTGTGCAAATCACCATGTTATGAACTATAGACAGCTTCACGTGAGATGTAAACAACACATAAAATATGCTAAGAAACTTGAGATAAGATTGTTGGAAACTGACAAAGAAGAGGTCGTATGTAGTGTTAGACTACAGTAAGTAATTGGGTGTGAAAACAAACAGAGAAGGAAATGAAACAATGAAAAGAAGAACTATTAATAAACTGAAACAAAACTTAGACCAAGAAAGAAAGGAATGAAGAAAGAAGAACAAAGTAAACTTATACGAGAACAAAAGATCCCTCTTTCCAGTTAACTTTTTGCCGCCATTGTGCAGTTCCAGGAAATATCCATGCTCTCCCCACAGAAGGGATTGGAATTTCCTGTTGGTGGGGGACTTCTATAAGACCAAAACAATAAATTTAAAGAAATGTATGAAGCTTAATTGGAATTTCCAGAGGGATGAGTGGAGGGTCCTATACAAGATCCCTTCTGTGGGGAGGTATGGATAATTTCTGGAACTACACATTGCATTGCAGTAAAATTCAATATACATTAGAGGCAATTTTGGGCAGTTTTGTAGTTCCTGTCCAAATCAGACTGTGCATAACGTAGAAACAACGTACTGTGACAATAATTCCCTTTCTACAAACTTTCTAAATTTGGCTTTCTTTGATAAACATTGAACAGTTAATGTAATAAGTATTTATAACAGTCTCTGTTAATTTTAATAGTTCTTTCCTGTGAATGATCATTGAAACGACAAATTTACAGATTTCTTACAACAAGTTTTTTTTAATAGTTTTACTTTGATGTAATACATTGTTTATTTTCCCAACTTTCCATCAAGTTCCATACATCATTCTAAAAGCAAATATACTCTGGAGTGCTCTCTTGGCTTGTGACTGAATTTCATCATTCGGATGATCTAGCAGCCCTGTTAGCTCTCCATACAATACATTTACATGTTCTGTTATCTCTGCTTGTTGTTGCTACAAGAAAAAATAATGAATGCATTAATTATTTGATGGTGAGATGATGAGAGAAAAATGCTTACATTGTTGTCACACAAGTAAAGGTGGCAAGTAGCCTCCTACGCAGTTGCTCTTTGGGTTCGTCATGCAATCTTTCTGCCAGGAGGAAGATTGCATGACAAGCCTAAGAAAGCATTTGCTTACGAGGCTAGGTGGCAAGCAGTTCTTTGAAAACCAAAATACCTCTGTATACTGATCAGGACTTGCAAGTAAGTTGGCTGAGATTGTAACAGCTCTTAAAACAATGTCATCTTGATTGTCTGGGAGCATAAATGTCTGGAGAATAAGTAGTGGCTGCAAGAAAAAGAATTAAACAAACCACATTTAGTCTCGACTCACTTTGTCATCCAGTATACAAAATTTAATGAAGACCAGTTTTTTTTTTCTGGACAGCCACTTTCAGATGTATCCACAAACCTTAAATTCCAGTAATCCTTCCAGATTATTAACATTGCAAGACAAGTTTACTAGCAGTCTCAAAACCTCTCTCTGACAAAAATCAAGGAAAGCTATGATCAAAATGATGATGTTTAAATACAAGTCATAACATTGTTATTGTACATGCATTACAGTGATATCAAGCAAGTTCTTTGTGTTAATAATCAAATGCATGTTTTAACACAATAATATTTCTTTCTCAATGATACTAAATGCTAACCAAAATTTGTTGAATGAATCTAAGCTTTTGCATTAAGTGAGAGTGATTTTATTTAACCTGTCATACCACATTTAACAAGAATATTAGGCTGGGGACAATTTATAGTCGACTACTGTAATCAAATGAAAATAGGAAAATTGGCGTCTAATTGTGTAAAAATCATTTCACAGGTCATGTAAAATCACTCTTCTCACACACCACTGGTAGCCATGTCAAGCCAACCACCACCGCCTGATCTTTATTGAAAAATTTGAAATCAAAGCTAATACAAGTAGCATTATGTTAAAGACCAGAAATAATGAAAAAAATTCAAGGCTTGTACATTATACTGGCATTGTATAAAAACTCTGGGTGGGTGGCCAGGAAAGTTGGTAATGGCCGACGCAACAGAAATAATGCCACCTCACAGACTGCAAGGAGGCTCCAGTGGTGTGTGAGAAAACATTCTTCACTTATTTCCTTTCACTCAGCCAGTGAAAAATTACTCATAATTTCTAAAATACAGCACTGGTAGCCTAAATGTTTCTGGAAAATATTCGTGTGAGTAACAATTCAATTTACCTGAATTTTTCCTGAGAGAGATTGAGAGAGCATATTGAAGAAATCTTGTACCCCTGTCATGATTTCATCATGTGCAATATTTGTTGCTGACAAATTAACGAGGAGCCTCAAATGTTCTATTATCATGTCTTCATTACTGAGAACATCACAGTATTCAATGTTTTTTATCACATCAAGAATGCTGCCCTGGAAGATAAAAATAACACTAAGATAAAACTACAGTACATATTTTTATTATTTTGCATGTCCCATCAATAGGGTGGTTTTCAACTGAGTGTCATAAAACCAAAACAAATGCAATTACTTACCAATTAGACTACTTAAAGCGGTTCTCAATTGAGAGTTGTAACACCAAAACCAAACCAATTACTTACCAATAATTATTAGACTACTTAGGGTGGTTTTCAGGCGAGTGTCGTAAAACCAAAACCAAAGTAATCTCTCTAGCCAATCAAAAAAGACACATGATACAGTAAACCATCAAAATTTGAAGTAATTACATGTATGTCTAGCTAATGCAAAGAACAGCAAAATGCATGTGAACATGTCACAATTGGTTTTGGTTTTATACTTCTGACTGGATGAAAAAGTGATGCAATATTTTTAAGCCATTCCTGTAGCATAGAAAGTGCAAAACCAATTACTTTTTTGACACTCAGGTGAAAACCACTCTTACTAGTCAATCTCAAACCATAGTAAAACCAAAACCAAAACCAAGGCAACTGCCTGATTATTCGCGACACTCAATTGAAAACCGCTCTTACATGCTGAATTAGTGATCATATTGATATGACATTATGAATCACTGTACATTTCCATTACCTTTAAACTTTCTTGATTTTTTTCATTCATTGCCAGGTTGGACAGAACCTGGGCTGCCTTGATGTTGATATTTTCACTTGGGTGTGTTAAAAGGGCCACAAGCCGTTTCAAACCTCCACACTCACGAATCAAATTCTGCAGATTGAATGAAAAGGTTACCAGTCAACATGTGCTAAAAGTTGCTTGATACAGTCATTCCACACTTAGGGTGACGTACCAGTGAACAGGAGTGTGTGAACAGACTGCGGGGTTGGGAATGGGCTGAAAACAAAATGCTCCAACACATTCCAATTCTTAATACGGTAGAAGCTCACAATCCTTGGGGAAGGTCAGGAAAAGGTGGGGGGAGGGGGG